AAACTTTCCCTTAACCTGTCCCAACCCTGGATAAAGGAGGTGGGTTGCATTAAATAGACAACCAGCATACAAATTTGTCATATCTTGTCATGAATCCAGAACCTATGAGAAGAATGGAGGAACAAGATTCATGTAGTAAGGCTTGGATGATGACGGCATTAGATCATATAAACTCACAAATCAGTTTAAAACACATCGAAATTGCAATATGATTTTTATACACCCATCCTACAAGTTTATATATTTTTTATGTTTTTTTTTGTAATATACTAAAGTTGTACTCTGGTATTTGGCTCGGCCAGGGGCAGAGTCTGAGTGTACTCACTGAGTAGTTGAACACTTTTTCCACCTTAATGAGCTTTTATCTCAAGCTCTTGATATTTGTGTAAATTTGCTTGATAGGAATGGATATCTGTTTAGTTATTTGTGCTCAAATGCATGTAAATGAGAACCATGACAATGTGTGCATATACTGCAAATATTAATTTTGTGGTCCATTGTTTAGTGTTTAGTGTTCCAATGCCTATATCCCATTCTTTACAGTGAAGGAACCATTGTAGTTAGTGCTTATTCAGCATTTTTGTCTAATGAATTGTAAAAGCAATTTGTGGATCAATTAAGTGAAAAAACGGACTTTTTAATTTCCTTGTTAATTTCCTAAGGAGGCTTTACAATAAAATTTACAAGCTGCATTTATAGTGGAGATGAATTTAGTTGTCGTCTTTTTTCCATCATGATTTGCATATCGTAAGATGATATTGTTGCCGGAAACTAATGCTATTGTCCGTGTTGACCAAACATATAACTTGTCAAGAGAAAAATTTGCATAAAATTGTGTATATTCGTTTATAGTTGATGAAGACATTATGACTATTTTCAGTAACTTGTTTGGTTTTGGATATTTCAGGTGTGGACAGATGTAAAATTGACTTCTCCTCAACTTTCAAGGGTGGCTGAATACAAGCTGTCCCTGAAGACCTTAAGCCTCCAGATTACCTCTTCAAGGCATGATCATCTTGTTAACGGCATTTATACTATTTATTATAGATGCATTGACCAGAAGTTTTGTTGTAGTCCAAGCAAATTCTGGGTGGTCATTAGTAAGGTTTTGCGCACTTTTGCACTCACATAACTTGGGAGAGCCAAATCGCATCTTTCATTGTCTTTTGATATTCAGATTGCCTGATGGTTTAATGAGATGATTAATGTATTAAACATAATTGTCTGATGATCTCAGGGACAATGCTAACCCATTTGTGGAGCAAGCAGTGCAATTTTCAGTAGCAGCTGCTAAAGCCCTGTGTACTGATGATGCCAAGAAGGACATGATACGGCGGCTTTTGTTGCAAGGTAACTATAAGTTCAGATTTTATCATTGGTTATCTTTGCTAATTAACCTTGAATAGTATTAATGAATACTATTAATGAATAGTATTACTGAATACTAGTGACTATTTCTATTATCATGGGGTTCTAGTTCTGAGAAGTATAACTTCTATATAGCTTTCTCATGCAGGTCTCGACATCACAATTGTAGGTTCCAATGATTTTTATTCATATCGAAATCAGGTATGTATATGGTCATAATTTTTAATTAGCTTACCAAGCTGCACATGTAATGCATGTTACATGGATTTGACCTATATTTTCTCTGCACTTCTGATTTGATGGCAAACCAGATATGGAGAACACTTTCGCATCAAGGATCCTCTATGTAAAAAGCCATCCCTCTATTTCCATCTATCCTCTGTCCTCAAATGGAAATCTGGAACAATTAAGAACCACTGAAAAATTTACCAAGTGGAGTTTCTTATTAATCCAGTGTTTTGTAAAATACTATCAAAGTTAATTTAGGAGTTTTTAAATTAACTAATTTGAAGGAAAATAGAAATATAAAAAGATTTGCACGGTGATGAGACCCCTGCTCAATTTCCTACTCAAAAGCGCAAGTAGGCCAGAATTGGAATCTTTGCACATTCAAAATTTTATGCCTGCAAATTCATTTTGTTTATTGTGCCTTATTGCATATTGGTTTCGTTGTTCGGATGCAGTAATCTTCCTGAGTATAACCAGGGCCTATAAAGATTCTGTTTTCTTCCATGTCATGTCTGAACTGCTTTCTTGTTTTATTTTGCATCCATCCTTTTATGAAATTCGTTCTGCTTCTCTTTATTCTTTTTGGCTTCTGCAATGTATATATATACTATGGCTTGTTGATTGCAATGGTTTCTAGATCAAGGACTCATGATCGGAATAATCAACTGTCTAGATTGTAGCTCATGGACTTCCTTTGACATCAGAAGCATTGTCATCTCTTCAACCATTCTCATCGATTACCTTCAACATGGAGAATTCCAATGGTGTAGGATCTGGAGACGAGTCCAAGCCAGAGGTTGCAAAAACTGGATTAGGGTCATCAGCAGCAATGACTACCGCAGTGGTTGCAACGTTGCTTCATTACCTTGGTGCTATCAATATATCATCTTCAACTAGGGGTATTAATGAAGAGGACACCATAGATGCTCATTTGAATTTGGTGCATGCTGTAGCTCAAACTGCTCATTGTATGGCCCAAGGCAAAGTTGGTAGTGGTTTTGATGTCAGTGCAGCAGTCTTTGGGAGCCAATACTATGTTCGCTTCTCTCCTGAAGTCCTTTCTCCTGCTCAGGTACGTGAGTGCGTCTCATGTTATAGTATTGTTGTGTTATAATAGGCTCCCATCAATATTGGTGTTCAGGGAAACTTCAGATTGATATTGCTATAGAAAGGGAAATAGAGGAAAGGTCATTAATTGGTCTTTTGGAGACTCAGATATGTTGGCCTTCAACCGCACTTGCACTCTCTACATATGTGTAGTTCTCATTTGTGAAACCTGGTTTTGCATGAGTGTGGTCCAGGGTTCAAACCTCTAAGGTTGTTTCTCATGCAAAGCTTGTAAACTAATCGATCCTACCAATAAAAACTGACATGAGGAAGTTCAAATGGATTGGCATGTTTGAGTGATAGTCGACTTTCATTGGAGCCATCTTTTTTGTGCTCTAATGAGTAGAAAAGCCAAGATATTTTATAAGCAGTAGTGTCTTCTATTGATCTCAATTTCAACATTTATCTCGATTCTGTAACCTCCTCAAATTAGACTGATAGTCTCATAGCTCTGTTTTGGTTGCGATTTCTCTAGTAAATGGTAGTAAGGTTGTCAGGGCTACACATGTTATCATGTTATGATATCTGTCTCATTTTGCTTGAAATCATTTTGGAGATCTTAAAGTGTACTGCATTTCGGCATATGCACAATTTTTTTTGCCGATCCTGGTAACTATGAGAAGCCATTTCTTTAATTTTTTTTATTATAATTTATTCATTCCGAATAGATTACTTTATCATTTATAGCTGTTTACTGATTAGCCTCTTCGAGAATCTTGCTATAAATGGCTGCTGATTGTTGCTTTTGGTTTGTGGTTACAGGTTATGTTGAAAGGAAGCTCTCTACAGGATGTCATGAGTGACATTTTGAAAGGAAAATGGGACCATGAGAGAGTTCAATGCTCATTACCTCCATTAATGACCCTCGTAAGTTCTACAAATGGAAATTTATATACATTAGCTTCACACATAATTAGGATAATGGGAAATAATAGATGTTTCGAAACATCAATGATTTTCTGTTCAGATGAGAAACTAGAATTAGTTTTCTTCTCTAAGAGTGATTCCTCCCAATTCCATGTTGGCCATTCCTGTTACCTCCATCTAAGGCTCTCCTGAATGATTGCATTGTACTATACAGTGTATCTACAAAAAACTATGGGTATTGCTAGCTCCGCATATGATCATTTTTTTAGTTACAGATTTTGGTAAATAGAATATAATCAGACTCAAATATATCTCAGTTTTCATGTTTATATTAAAGATAATGCCATTTGTATTTCTTATTTGGTTTTCTTGCAAACATTGACCACTAAGGAAGATAACTTGTGTAATCTCCCTCAAAGTATAAAGATTGGCCTTGGAGTGAACATCTGAACCTGAAATTGCGAGTAACAGATATGGTTTACTAGGAGAACCACTAAAGGGCAAGTAATACATGTTTCAGTATTACGATCAGTGGAAAACAAAAATAGGGGAATTCATTTAAATCAGAAGAAATACGTGACTTGATTACCCAGGATTAAGGGAGTCTAGAAATCAATTGTTCTAATCTTTAATTGCTCAAAGATCTTGAGGACATGGAATTTATGTTGGTGGATGTGATATCAAGGCAGAAATGATCTAGAAGAGGAAAGCGGTCAAGATAAATCCTTGCGATTTAGTTTAAACACAGGGATAAACCCCTTGGAATCATGGATTGCTGTTATTTCTTTATATTTTGAACATTTCCTCTGTCCCTGTTTTCTTATAACTGTTTGGTCCCAAATGACAAATAATACTCCATGGACATTTTTGAAGATCTATTCAATGAATCATTGTATTGAATCTCATGTGTAAATTTCTGGTTCTTCAATGCAATGCTTTCTTCTTCAAAATTGAAGTCTATTGCATATAGGTATTGGGGGAGCCTGGAACTGGAGGATCATCTACTCCATCTATGGTGGGTGCAGTGAAGCGGTGGCAGCAGTCTGATCCAAATAAATCCCTAAAAATATGGAGTGGATTGTCGGAGGCTAACTCAAAACTGGAAATCCTACTAAACAAGTTACGTAGGTTTGCAGAAGAACAGTGGGAAACATACAAAATGGTTCTGAGGGGCTGCAGTCGACATGTATCTGAAAAGGTTATTTCTTAGGCACCTTACAAAGATTTTATTTTCTTGATTCTGGATTACATGAAACTGCAAGATTGTTTCCCTTTTTTTTTTTTTTTCTGTTTTTCTCTGGATACTTTCATATCATGTAGCAATAAACTGAATGTGGCCAAAATGTCCTCATTTCTCCAACTAATTATAGGGATTACATATTTCAAAAATGACTAACCTCGAAGATTTAAAAGTTTTCCTTTATTTTATTTTTGACACAATTACAGTGACTTCTTGATATCTTGTTTATGAAATTACTGCAAGTTTGATGGGCAGCTGAGCTCACGTAATTGTTTCTGAGTTATAGTTAAAACAGTATTGTTCTATGCTAAAAGAGTTTCATGCTACACCAAGATATTCTTATTTTAGTGAGTAAATCAGTGTTGAAGGTGGGATTCTGCATTTATGCACAGTGATCGAACAGCCCACTTCGAGAAAGTTCCATTAATTTTCCCCCTTTCTCTGAAATCCAATTTCTTATTTTTTTTTTCGTTTATATTTCCTTGGTTGAATTGTGTGAAATTTTAATCCACATTCAAGGGTTTGCAAAAGACTGGGGCTTCCAAATTATTAGGCTATGACCATGGGAGTTTACTCACTTGTGGACCCATCATTAGTTTGCTTTCTGAGATTTTTCCTTGGTAGTTAAAGGTCTCATTGTAAAGTATATATCTTAATCCCGTTTGAAATCCTTGTAGCATGTTTTATTTATTTAATTTTTGGAAACATTGAGTAGGGTAGATCTATGCAGCCTTATGGCATGGAGCTACATATATCTGTCCTCAGGTTTAGGCTTGAATTCTCGCTTACACAAGTAGAATGAGAAAAATGTACAATTAGTCGTAATTAGGAATTTAGGCTTAAACGGCAAGATCTTTGCTTCATTAACATTATGAAATTTGGATTTTCAATTTTCTATACACAACAGTGCTAATTGATTTCATCATGAGACTTCGAAGTGGATGGGCAGGCGCTTAAGTTATTGGGCACCCGTATCAGTTTTCTAGGTGCACCAACCTCCACAATTTAGTTGATGAATGGGTTGTTGAGAATTTAACTATATTTCTAGGACAGTGATTTTGTATTTTTGAGACCTGAGTGGCTTTATTTTCCATATTTTTTTTATTTGTTTTGTCTTGATTGGATGCTCCTGATATGTTGCAGTGACTGATGTTGTTCTTGACAGTGGAGAGAGCAAATGGCAGACCCATGCCGATGTATGATTGTAGAAGCACTATTAGGAGCGCGAGCTGCAATGATTGAGATAAGATCTTTTATGCAACAGATGGGCAAGGCAGCTGGAGTTCCTGTGTGTTCCCTTTTTTTAAAGCCTGTTGATTTTATGTTTATGTTTTTGATATATGACTGTGCTATGAATAGTTGTTTTGTCTACGCAGTATTTTGAACATTGGTACAACATTTAAACATCTAGTGAAAAGTTGAAGATAGTTTTCATGTCATTTTTAGGAAAGATTTGCCATCTTCTAACAGAGAAGTATACAACATAATCCAGTGGCCTATGGTACCATCGCCCATGGTTCATCACTGTCCACTGAAATAATAGATGGTGATGGACAGAGAACATGACCAACCAATGGGTCATGTTATGTTCGAGTGGGTCTCACTCTCTCCATCATCACCCATTATAATTGTGATGGATGGTGATGACCCTGTACTGGTGTTCTCCTCAGTACATGGGATCATGTTATCCTTTTCTCTTTACATATTTGGAAACATATAACAAGCATATCTTACCTGGCGATTTTCAAGAATTTTAAGAAAAAACAGTCGTAATGCATTTCCTGTGACCACTATTATTGCCAGTCAACCCCTCTTACTGCGATAACTTTGTTCAATTCAGACTTTGTGTTTTTACTTTCATACACAGATTGAGCCTGAATCACAAACTCAACTCTTGGATACCACCATGAGTTTGGAAGGAGTTCTTTTGGCTGGTGTTCCTGGTGCAGGGGGATTTGATGCCATTTTTGCTGTCACTTTGGGGGAGTCATCTAAAGACTGTTTAACAAAAGTTTGGAGTTCACTTGGTGTTCTCCCAATGCTTGTTACTGAAGATCCAAGAGGCGTTTCTCTAGAGAGTGGCGATCCCCGAAACATGGAAATCTCTTCTAGGATCAATTCTCTCTCCCTAGTGTGATTCCCTAAAAAGAATTAAGGAAAAAAGGCAAGAAAGAGGGGGAGATTAACCATTTCAGGGCCAGAAAACTGATTTAGTATCGTTATTTGGAACCAGAAAAACCTGCAAAGCTTACTTGAAGTTGGGGACTCAATCAACTGGTTCATGGGTATTTGGATTTGCATTTCTTATTAAAAATTAACCAATCTGTATTAAGATATTTGAGTTTTCTTATGCAATTGTGGCTTCCCAGTGCAATATGTAGACCTGACGTTGTGAACTGGTTATCGTGAACCCCTTTGAGGGATTCATTTCAATGAATTTTGTAGATTATAATTCATTTGAAGAGGTGTTTGAGATGCATTTTTCTTCTAGAGAATCTGAACCACGTATTGAGGGACTTATTTCTTTGCAATATAAATTAAACTTTAGTAGCTTCAAATTCAAGAGCCTCTTCTCCTAGGATCGACTCCATTCAAAAATGTAGACGACATGTTTGGACAATTTCCAGGTCGATATCTGTAATTCCTTGATCAACAGCTATATTGGCTAAAAATTATTGGGCAATGCCTCGATATGTCATTGTAAGTTGTGAGAAAAATATCATTTAGAAATATTCCAAGAAAGTCAGGTTGAATTATATCTATTCAAGATAGTTTATATTGCACCTGATTAGATCAACTGATATTTGTTGCAGTGAATGTTATCTTGTAAATATGTGTAGCAATTTGTACTTAGTGAAGTCCATTCAATAATTTTGGTTGGTTGATTCACTATGATGTATCGATTGTAATTTATCACTTTGGGATAACTTTTTAAAGGGAGTTGTCAACATCTTTCACATTCAATTAACTTTATTAACCCTCTACCAGGCTAACTATTAAAAGTAGCAAAGTTCTCTTGACAAATTTTGAAGTTGCATATACTCTTGACAAATAGTTACAATTTCCTATTAAAACAGGAAATTTAATAGAACAGAAGTTTGATTTGCTCTTGACAAATAGAACATGATTTTTTTTTCATAGAACACAAAGAATTCTCTTCCTAGAAGGCATCCTCACTAGAGGCTGGGGATGGAAATTCAAAGACAACAAATATTCCTGTGACTTGGGAGTTTATTAACAATTTTGTCAAAACAGTATAGAAGCTATTTTATTCAGAAGGTATATTTGTTTTCTTTAAAAGCTATAGAATCAATCTATTAGTTACGAAATTTCTTATTTGATTTGTTTAATTTGGCCAACGATGCCTATTGTCATTGGTAAGCAAATCCAGAAGTTGAATAAGTTAAGTTGTAATGAAGAAAAGAATATTGCTACATATATCATTGTTCAAGAAAGCAAAGATTACATTTTTACAGATTTTATAATAAACAAATTGAGAGTAATAGGGAGAAAAGATACGGGGACTTATGGTTTCACTGAGGGTATGACCTTTGATAGATAAGAATTATGGTTTCACTGAAGGTATGGCCTTTGATAGATAAGAATGATGAACTGAGATTCGTATAGCCGATTTCAAATAATTGGAAAAAAACTTTTGATGATGATAACAAGGAGAATAAATTTTCATGTATTTCTCTCTTACACTGATGATTTATATAGTACAGTTACTCCAATTGGGCTGGCTTGGAGTGAGATCACGACTCTAATTTCAAAATCAAACTCATTTACCAATAATCCCCACAAGAGCACTCCCCTCCTTTGAAGTGGTGGAACCGGTTGCGTTCTCTAACAATAATTTCTCGTCTGAAAATTTTTGAAATCAACCTTGTAGTGGCATGACAATCACTACACATCCGAAGGTTCCTTGAGATTCGTAGGATCGAACCAGGGGCTGTGCTAATGAGGCCAAAAGTAATGGCTAGCTTTTGGCTATGGCCAAGGACCAAATCCCTCTTCTCCTCTTCACTCACATATGTTAACACCTCTGATGTATCTAGACTGTACCCTTCAAACCTCAGTTGCCAAGCTATCTGATGAATCATCTCATATATCTCATTGCTTTGAGGATGTGCCCTATCTTGAGAAACAAATCTATGTACCTTTCTCTCCACCTCAATTGAACTATGCCCAAGGCTTTGCACTAACCCATTATCTGCCATCTCTGTTCTTAGCCTCTCCACATTACCCCACCTGCGACCACGAGCATATATATTTGAAGCAAGCATGTAATCTCCTGCCGTAAAACTATCCAGCTCAATAAGCTTCTCACTGGCAATTTCCCCTATCTCTATGTTATGATGAACCTTACATGCACTGAGCAAGGTTCTCCAAATGACTTCGTTTGGTTTAATGGGCATGTTTCGGACGAGCTCATATGCTTCTTTGAGCGATCCTGACCGTCCAAGAAGGTCAACCATGCATCCATAAAGTTGAATCGTAGGTTGTATTCGAAGCTCAGAAATGGTCTTCTCGAAAAGTCGGTGACCTTCCTTTACTAGCCCTGCATGACTGCAAGCACGAAGGACCCCGACGTATATGGCGTCATCGGGCTCCCAACCTTCACTCATGAGCTCGGAGAGTAGCTCCAGAGCCTTCTTTCCATAGCCATGTGCTGCAAGCCCTGAAATCATCACACCATAAGATATCATATTCTTATTATTTAGCATTCTCTCAAAGACGGTCATCCCTCTGTCTATGCATCCACATTTAACATACATCTCAATTAGAGATGTCTCTGCTACGACATTGAAATTAGAAAACTTTCTAAGTAATGAAGCATGGGTGCACCTCCCCAAATCTAGAGCACTCAAATGAGCACAAGAGGAGAGAACACTCACTAGAGTGCTCTCATCAGGCCTCCAACCTTCACTTTGCATCAAACTAAAAGTACTTAAGCATTGATCCCAAAGCCCACATTTGGTGTAACCTGAAATCATAGCACTCCATGAAACAGGGTTCTTTTGAGGAATGCTATCAAATACAAGCTTTGCCGAGCTTATATCTCCACATTTAGCATACATGCTAATCAAAGTATTCATCACACAAGTATCAAACCCAAACCCAAATTTGATGGCCATGCCATGGAGCTGGTGCCCCTTCTCGAGCGCCGATAATTGAGCACAGGCCTTTATAACAAAGGGGAAAGTGTACCCATTTGGCAAAACTTCTTCTAGGAGCATCTGAACATAGAGAGAGAAGGCCTTTCCTGGTTCGTTTTCACCCACATGACCTCTGATCATGGTGTTGAAGATGAATGTGTTTGGTTCCTCAATTTGGTGGAAAATTGAGCATGCATAATCCATGCTACCCCAGTGAGAGAGAGCACACATGGCCATGGCATCTCCAGCTCTCTGAGAATCATGGGTAAAGCCTAGTTTGATAATCTTGGCATGGACTTGCATGAATTCTTTCATGTTCTTGGACTTTTGCAGAAGGGTAAAGCATTCTTGATCTTTTGATTTCAGCCCTGAAACTGAATTGGGTGTCTCAGGTGAGATGTATAAATGGGTATTTTGTGTAAGCGATCCTATCATCGTGTTGCTAGTTGTAGAGTGAATATTAGAACGAGTGACGAGACATCCATGTCACAAGCCTAAAGAATAAGCAGAAGTAGAAAGAGAAATGGAGGAGGTAGAATTGCACCAGGAACTGCGGGGTTTAAGTCTTGTTTGATGTGATTCCAAGAGCAGCTGCATAACAAAACTAAAGGAAGAGTGCATAAAGTTGAGAGGGAAAATGAGGAGAGAGAATAGGCTTTCACCAGGAATGATGGGGCTTATAAGAACTCTTCTCTCTCTACACCAAGTCTGAGGAGGCCAAACTTTTTTGGCAGTGGCAGTGGAGAAGGCTTGCTCCATTGAGAACGAAAAGAGATATGAATTTGTTCGGATGTTGGATAGGATAACGTCTTAGAGTGAAAGGGATCCGGGTGAAATCTGTCTAAATGGAAGAGATATTTCTTTTTTTTCCTTTTTTTAATGATGAGCACGTCTACTGTGATCATGTGGGAGCATATACTATATACCTACTCCCTAGTTAGAAGATATGTTTGGGATAATTCTTTCAAAGGACGCGTTTAGCATGCGGCGAAGCCCGCACGTGTAGAATACGGAATTGGCAATAAATATATATTTTAAATACACTTTGATTCTATTTTTTTAGAGAACATATAATTTTTAACATGAAGATTATGAATATGAAGAAAATAAATTTTGAAAACTAGAAATAATAAGTATACTAATAAAACGTTTAGCCCGTTAGTTACAATTGTTTTTAGATGGACCGCCTATTTGCATCCATCTGTAAGATGGATGCTTTATACCTCTGGACCGCATATTGTAGAAATGGGGTCTAGCCCGCATGAAACAATTGTTCAATCCCAATTGCACCATGTTAAGTGTTTATACACTTTTGTATAGTATGTGGGGCCATCTCCACATTTCGTCCTTAATGTGGACGGTGGAGATGATTTTTCCGAACTATTATACCACATGGATGCATTATTTAATGGGTAGGGTTTATATAAGATGTTGTGGATATATTTTTAGTGTCGGAACCTTAAGATAGCTCAAAAATCTATTTTTATAGTTTTATAATTTTTTTAAATTGGCACATATTTATAAACATTTAAAAACCTTGAAAATAAACGTTCCAGATAATTTGTAATATGATATACTATTTTTAGAATTTTAATTTTAATTTTTTTCAAATCCATTCATCATGAGGTCGAGATGATTAAATTCGATGGCTTTCCAACTCTCGAAGACTCTCTTCTAGAGGTTTTTTGAGGTGCACCTTACTTCAATAATATAAGGTCATCACCTTATATGAACTATTTCCTTGTTTAGTATTTTAAGGATGAAGTTTCTAAAGGGCCTAGGCTTTATGAAAACAAAACAAAGCATCACCCCAAATCTTTATCCAAAAAGCACCTTGGGCAATGTAAATATTCATATAGATCCAAAATCAATTTCCAACACCGACAATCAATTTTGAAACTAAAAAAAAGGTACAATTTTGTGGATATATGTACATTTTTATTTAGGGTGAAGTGGATGGTCTAGATGATTTGTTGCATTATACACTATTTTTAGAACTTGAAACCCTATATTTTTTTCATAACCATCATGTTCAAGTTGAGATAATCGATTTAAAGGTTTTTCAACACTTGAATTGTAATTTTTGATGAGTTATGAAGTGAAGCTTTACTTATTTTGATAGGGCTACAACCCTATCAAACCATTTTCTTTTATATAAAGGAAAAATTTGTATAAGCCTTAAGACTTGTGGGAAAATGGTGTTTGTCATTAGAAATCCCTCAAATTGATCATCTCCACTTCGATATGGATGTTTATGAAGAAAAATTGAATTTCAAGTATTAATAATATTGCATCATGTAACACTTTATCTAGATTGTCCATTATCAAGATTTTTAAGTATTCATAGATTTGTCAGATCTACACTATTTTTGGTGCTTTCAATTTGATAATAGAGGTAACAATACATTTTAAGGCAATCATACAAGTTTTGGTACCTAAAATACATCTTATAATGAGATTGTGAAGTGCACCTTATCGTGACAGTTTAAAGTAGACACCTTATACAAACCTCACCCTTATGTAAATTCCCAAAAATAATAATTTTCATACAACGTATGGTCATTAACAAACGCCGTAAGAGGTTCCGTGATAGTAGATATTACATGCTCTTTAGGGTATATACTCTCTCGGGTGAGTTTTTTTTTTTTTTATAAGTAGGAAGATGAGCTCCTACCCATTTATTGAAATCGTTAGTAATTTATGAATGTGTTAGGTGACCTTAGCTGGGGCACAAATGATGCTACCACCATGACCCCTCCCCGCCCCCGCCCTCGCCCTCGCCCCAGCCCCCGCCCCCGCCCCCATTCTCAAAAGGGTAATAAGTCAAAATGGTAAGTCAATCGGTATACAAAAGTGTTTTTAGGAACCAAAATTTATAATTATATGCTTCCCCTTTTTGAAATGGGTGCGGTTTGTATAGAGCCAGGGTCTAAACAATCAAAATAAATCATACCTTCAAATAATGCCAAGAAATGTGGTTTTTTTTTGTGATATCATTAAAATATATTTATATTTTAATTATAGAATTTAAAGTTTTAAAAATAGTACACATTAAACATATTTATAAAAACTCGAAAATTTTAAAAGTTGACTTTAGATGCACAACTTTCAAAACTTGAAATCTATTTATATTCACATGTCCACAACTTTCAAAACTTGAAATCTATTTATATTAACATGTCCATACATTGTCCGGATAATCAATTTAAAGGTATCTTGGCATCCAAACTATTTTTTTTTTTTTTCTCGAGGGGGGTTCTAATTGATTATTCGGTTCTGTATGACCTTTTCTCTTTCGAAATTACAAATATAAAACTTTAAAACTTTTAAAACACAGCATATTTGAACTTTTATAATCTTTCTAACGCAAGAAAGAAAGAACGACTCCTTCAAACTGTCAACCTTTCATCGCCCAAAGCTCCTCCTCTTGGCATCAGGTACACCTCTCTCTTTCTTCTTTCTCTCTCTCTCTCTCTCTCTCTCTCTCGCTCTCTCTTTCTCTTTCTCGTTCTCTCTCTCTCTCCACTCAAAATATATCTAAAACCCTAATCTTGTTCCACTATCCCAAATCCAGTTTTTTCCCCTGACTGCTATCCATGCAAAGCCCTAATTATGGATAGTTTTATTGTTCACGCTAGGATTTGGGATGGATTTCACAGCTGATGCAATAATTTGTTATTGAAATTTTGGTAAATTTTGTCTAAGACCTGTAATCGGATAAATAGAAACCCAGATGAAAATTTAAGGAAATTGCTTAGCAAGTTTTTTTTATTTCTATTTTGGATAGATATATAATAAAACCAAGAACTGAAAACAATAACCAAACACCACCGTGATTTTCGTAATATATTGGCCAAAATAAACCCAAATTTCTCTTATTTCAGCTGTCTCGCAAACAAAATGTGTGTCAATCAAATTAGGAACTGCAGTATTTTATTTCTTTAATTGATTCAGTTATTGCTGTGCTTTTTTTGGAGCATTTGCTGGAATCTATGTTGGTTTGGTTTTTCCTTTGGATCCACTACATATGTTATGCTTGTATTGAATTATTGATGTATCATATGGGTTGGAATATGATGGAATATGCATCTTTTCTTCTTTTGTATACTTTCTTTGCCTTATATTTGGGAATCATTAAGAAGTATGGTTACTGGCACGAGGGGAACGCAAGCCATCAACAAGGGAGAAATATTTCAGTTTGAAATTTGTTGTCCAGCAGCCAATCAGACACATCTAGTCGAATAAAATTAGCTTCTATATTTTCCTACACAGCCAAAACCATCCACCAGCACAATAAGACAAATGATAGGTTTTTCCAATTCTGCATGAATAAAGGATTACATGTTTTTCAATGGGAAAGGGTTTTTTATTAAAGGGGAATTGATCAAAATGCACTTGAGAAATGAATCATTTAACATTTTACCTATATCTTTTGATTTAATTTAAAAAATCCCATCAAAATATGCATGATCATGAGTTGGAATAGTTGAAAATGGACAAAATGTTAAATAGTTGATGAGTCAGGTTTATTTTGATAATTTTCCCTTTATTAGACATCCAACTGGCCCTTCTTTTCATACGAACAAGGGCATATGTGGTTTCTCCTGATCCCTCAAGGTATGCTCATTCAGTTGATGTCTGTATTGATTCATTTAATCTCAATTTGTTGAATAAGTACTACTTGAAACTGCTGCTAACTTTTAAATTTTACTTAATTCTTTTTTTCATATCTGAGTTCCCCAATTCAACATTGGGTTTTTTATTATGTTATTTACTAAAAATTAATTGATATTTATACTATTTGTTGATTAATTCCATTTGATCTATGTTAAATTTTTTGTCTATTATTTGTTTCATATTTTATGGAATATTTTGTGTCATTAATTTGCATACTGCCATCTCTACTTCCAAAGACATCTATGTCATTGAATTATGGGTGTGCAGACAATTATTCTTCTGGTTCAGTGGTTTCTTATCATGAAAAAATTAGGATATTTTAAAAGTGTCTTAAAATCCGTGCCTAAAATATTAATTCCACTTGTATCATTCATTTTATCTTCTACGGTGTCAGATTTACTGGTTTAGAGTGGGATGGTGTGTGAGCTTTCAAGTCTAAAGAAAATAGGTTTTTAAAGCTAGTTATGACGTTTTTCTTTCTTTTAAATTGTCTTATATTTCTTGATTATTACTATATCTTTTTTTTTTTTAATGTTATGATTTGTACTTGTTGCCTTTCACTCGTAATTGAAATTTTAAAGATTCTAATGTTGGATGGTGATTGAGAGAATGTGAGCTACTCCTCTTCCTGAATTTTTAAATGGACACGGTTAGCATGCTGCCAGCCCGCATATTGTACAAATGTGGCCTTGGCAATAAATATATTTTTTAAATATAGTTTGATCCTAATTTGAGAATATATAATCTTTAATGGAGATCATGAATATGAAAAAAAATAAAATTGAAAACTAGAAAAAGTAATTATATTAAGAAAACATCTGGACCATTAGTTGCAATTTTTTTTAGATGGACCACCTATTTGCATCCATCTTTAAGATGGATGTTTTATACCTATGGACCGCATATTGTATAAATGTGATCCAGCCTGCATGAAGCAATTGTTCTTTTTAAATTCTTCCATTTTCTAGGGTTTAAGAAAAGCTTATTCTTCATTGTTTCCTTGCTTACAATTAAACACACACAACCCAACCACCTCGTCTTTTCTAATTCCTAATGTTTCAAAAGGAAAACATGCGCTTTCAGGGATCATGCACATAAGCATGTACTCATTCCTCCTTTGAATATTTTCATTTGATTCACCTCAATGAATGATCATTCCTCAATTTTCATGGGTCAAATTTTTTGTTACTTTTCCTTTCTTTTATTTTCTGCGAAATGTTAATGCACTTTTTATACATAAAACTACTGTCGCGTGACTTTTGTCTCTCTTTTTGTGCTTGTGGAACATATTATGTGATCCAGTATTTATATATTTTAGAGGTGTTATTTCTCAAAAACAATATATGTTAGAGGTGTTGTCATTCCCTAGGGCGTTTAGTAGCTTTGTTTTCCTTTGCCTGCATTCTTTTGACATGATTCCATATCAAGATTCTATTACAGGCTCGAATTTATAATTTAAGGCTTCTCAGTTGACCCAAATCCTTTATGTTTTGGAATCATAAAAATTGTGTTTCAGTTTGCACTCTAGTTAGTTTCTGATTAATGATTTTTTTGTCCAATGAAATTTATTAATCTTTAGGTTGTCTTATTTCAGAAATGCAGGATAATTCTTGTACTTAGTGAGATGCAGAAGGTGGGGGAGTTCAAGCTTCCACACTTTTTCAACTACCCTCCTTATTTCACGTAATCCCTGCTTCTTAGCTCCATCCCGAACATTGGCCTTTCTTGACATGTCTAGTATCATGTAAACATAATACAAAGAGCACCGATGTGTTGTTATATTGAAGAGAAGCATTGTTATTATAGTTGTATTTAGTAACATGAGGATCAAGTGCATCATATTTCAGACTTGCCTGAACTGTAAAGGTTTGCTTTGTTAGTAGCATTGTATTTGCTTCTGTAATCCATTTGTTCAAGACTACGACTTTCAGATCTTTCTAAGTTCCAGTATGTTCTGCATTGTAGTACAATAGTTGACGATCTTATTTTTCACCGGGGAATTTAAGATCAAAGTTAGAGAGTGGGCAGGTAATGAAGAGGGGTCGATGCTTTTATATCATTATTCAATATTTTTTAGATTGCTGATTATATATCAGAATTTGAGATTCAAGTTGTGCAACTCTGAGCTTCCTGGTCTGTTCTCAGAGATCTAAACTGTCATTTGGAAGCATGGAAATAAATAGAAGACATTGTTCAAGAGATAGCAGTTAAGTGTGATATAAAATAAAATTTAAAAATAAAAATAAAAGAGATAGTAATTAATCTGAGAAACCGGTTTCCCAGGATCAGAGTGGAAACTGTGGCTTTAAATTATCATTTTAAAAACTTTCTTTGACTATCTGATATAAATAGTTTTCATTAGTAACAATGAACAATGAAATGGATTGTATGGAGCATACAGCTCAATACCTAGGTCAATACTTTCCATTGAAGACTTATGCTTAACCATAAAATTTTTTAGGTTGAATAGTTTGTGCACTCCGACAGGGAGAATGATGAATCTTTTCTGAATAATTTTAGTAAAAATCCTGCTCAAAGAACTGGCATGGGCAACTGAATTAAAGGAGCTTAGGAAATTATGCTTAACAGTTTCACTTGGAGTTTCTCACCATTTTTTGGTAAAAGAAGCAGAATAAAATAAAATGAAATAAAGTAAAAGGTTCTCCAATTCTGATAATTTGCACTCTTCTGCCCTTTTGCTACATTCAACAGCTTGACGTTTCAGCTATTTATCTAAAAAATAAATTATTTTAGTGCTTCTTTTGTATGTTGGTTATTGCTCATAAATTTGTTTGGCTCATAACGTTTCTAATAAGGAATTAAGGTATCAGCATTCAGCAATAGGTTTAGTTCATAATATTTCTTCCAAGGGGTTATCGTATCAATAGTAGAGATGGGAAGTTGCAGTGGAGTTGCGCTCTTATTTATATAAGTTACCATTTGATGTAGTTTGCAGCCTGTAAGGGACACCAGAGAAAAGCAAGTGCAGCTTTGGAAGGAACTTATACTTGATTATTGTAAACACCACAAGATCTTTGTCATTGGACTTGAGGAAGAGTTCCCTCTGTTTTCAAATCCAACAATTGACCGTAAGCTTTCCCATTATACATGTTTATCTGGTCATAAGTTTTGGTTGTATCCGATGATTTCATTGCTGATTAAATGAGGAGCTGGTTTCACTTTTCGGGAAGTATGCTAGATCCTCTGGACTATAGGAAACCATGGTACATTGGGATCATCATTTCCAATGGAATGCATAGTGATGAAGATCGGAGCGAGAGTGGGACCTGCGAATAGGATCCTGCTCTCACCTCCATTGCCATCCATTTCAATGTATGGTAGTGACAGCATGAGACCATGTGTATACCATTTTTCATGGGGTTAAAGTATAACTGTCCTTGCGTTTTTCTACAATGAGCATACCTCCTTATGATGAAAAGCAAATGAAAGAAAGGGAAGGATGTGTTTCTCAATTTGTGGATCTTTAGGGTCCTCTTTGTTTCCCAGGAAAGAACCCTCTGATAAAGTTCTTTTCCGCTGGATTACCTTTTACCCATTTGTTTTCTGGGAAAGTAGTAATTACTGTAGCAATTGGAGAAACACTTTCCAGCCTTCCCAGCACTTTTATGTATTTTGGTAAGAAAGCAGCTTCCTACCAATTTAGGTGCGAAAGCCTTTTCCTAAGCTGATGAGAAATCTCTGTTGAATTTTTTCAGATTTTCACACTTTCCTAGGCTGATGAGAAATCTCTATTGAACTTTCTCAGAGCCCCTGGAAAGTGCTTTTGCAGGAAACTAAAATGCCCTAAAAGTGCAAGCTCTGAAAATCTCTGCACTTATTGGAAGATTTTTTTCTATAATCATATCTTACTACCTTAAAAATATGTCCTTAAAATACTTGTTTTTAGGGTTTGTATTTTTTAGTTTTTTTCCTCAGTCAGCTGCCATTTCTTTTATTAACTGTGAGGTTCAGACATTTTATTTTTAGGCTTTGATTGTCAGGTTCCCTTAGACATGAAGCGAAGGAAGTGTTTCTTTCAGCCTTGGTCTCAGAAGGTTTGTTCATTTTCACATATGGACATCGGTACTTCTATTGAATGCCGAGAATTTCTAAGATATTTTTCTTAGTATTTGGGTTCTTTATGAAATGACAGGCCGTGCTGAGTGGCTAGAGAAGGGACATAAGAAGTGCCTTATTCTCTGGCACAGAATTCCGGATTGGGCCGATTATATTTTGCAGTTTGTAAGTCCAATAGGCCATTAACAGAACTTTAGTGCCGATGTGATGGTTTAGTGTCTTGGTAAAAATTTCAAAACACTGCCTGCAACACATGCTGCATAAAATGTGCAAGTGCTGAAACTTGGAATCTTAGAACATTGTGCAGATCTAGCATTGTTGTTTTCTCAACTACTGTTTCCCCACTGTATGGCATTTAAATAGAAAAAGAGCAAGAGTATCTTCAGTGCAATATATTGAATGGACCAGGGTAAAACTATCATTTAGAGAAAAAAAGTTGACGAGTCCAAATGCTGTTGTGAAATTCCAAGTTTCTGTACCTATGTGATGTTTGCGGGTGTTCCAAGCACTTTCCTTTATTTTGCTTTTTTGTATGGTTAGGCTAATTTTGTTTTGCATGTGGAAAAGGTCAAAGATAATGGGTTGGAGGACAGTGTGACGACTGTTGAAGAAATACGCTCAGGAGTTGAGTCAAGAGGAACAGGTATCGGGAAAGCTTCGTATCTATTAGTCGTTTGAATATATAGCATCATTTTTGCTGAACTCCCAAGGAGGGGTTTGGAATCATGTTTCATGTCATTCCATTCCCTTATTATTTTCTTGACAGGATTTGCTTACGTTACGAAGTTAGGTTTCCTATCCCATAATTGATCTGTCGGAGATATTGATCTACTGGTTATTTGAATATCTTGCATCATTTTTGTTGTAACTTAACAAGAAAATGTTTGGAATCATGGGAGTATAATTTCAGTGTTTTATGTCATTCTATTCTCTTGTTAGTTTATTGCAAGTGTCTGCTTACTTAGGGAAGATGGTTTTCTATTCCCAAAATTGATAGAACTTGAAGGGAAAATGCTGAAGGGAAATTATAAGCTAGTATTTGATTTTCCTACCAACTTATAGAGATGCATATTGTCCAAATTCCCTTATGAAGGATGCCTTTCTTTGAAATTCCATATTTTGTGTTGCTTGTAGAGCTTGCTGGAATTGATCGTGTTGTACTTATGCGAGCCTTGAAGCTTCTAGAACAGAAGGGGAAAGCCACAATTTTCAAGGGGACCTCTACGGATGACGAAGGCATAAAATTCTCCGCATAAAATAGAAGAAATTACCTAATTTTAATACTCATTTCACAGAGTGGGAATATTCTATATTCAATTTCTTCATGGGTGCAAGTTATTCACGCTCTTTCGGAACTTTGATCTCCAGTTGGTGTTATGGGCCATCCCAGGGTATTTAAGAAGTTTTTTTTTTTTTGACAAATGTTATGAACTTATATTAAAGCAATGTTTCAAGAGCATGAGATTACAAAGATTGGATCAAATCGTTAGAAACTTGCAAAAAGGGAAGAGAATCACTATGTTTAGCTAGCCCATCAGTGACATCATTGACTTCACACATGGTGTGGTTGAAAGTTATCCTCAAATTAAGTCAGGCATATAGGTCTTGAATTTTTAACCAAAGAGTAAATAGGGATCAGAGGATTTTTTGTTCTTTATTACATCACTTGATAACATTAAGGGAATCTCTTTCAATTATAATATCACCAATGAAATCCTTATCGATGATAATATGAAGGTTTTGAAGGAGAGCAGCCAATTCGGTATGATGGGTTGTTGTAGACCTACAAGGACCCGAATAAAAAAAAAGAACTAATCCCAAATTGTTGCGAACAACTGCAGCACTGGATTTCCAAATGAGATGTTATCAAAATTAAGTTTGAGGCAAGCTTTTAAAAGTGCAGTCTAAGTTCGAAAGGGATGGCTAGAATGAGGAGAGAAATGAACTAAAAATTTTATGTTTATATAAATATCAGTCCAAAGTATTTAAGATTTGATGTGTATTAAATGTATCTCTTGGATTATTGATTCCCAATGGTGGAAGAGGGAGAGTACGCCATACGCAACCTGAGTGTTCTATACCATACACAGGCAAGGCATCCACCATCTGTTCATACGAGGAGATGGGTCGTTGCCTCGAAATTGTGGTATACATCTTTTTTTGAAGGAGGAATCAAACTTGAAATGTAGCATTGTCTAGTATATTTTTTGTTTCGACCCTTCCAATTGGGTGGAGACCGTCCAATTTTTAAGCGTCCCTCTTCTTTTTTAATATGAGTTTAGCAACTCAAAATCCTTAATATTTATTGGTAGAACCAGTTTTTTTAATATTTGCAAAAGAAAATCGAAAAGGGAAAGTATAGAAAGAGACAAGGTGGTCACATAAATCTCGACCATTGGATGTGAAATTGAGTGGTTGCAATTATTTCATTGACCAAGCTTAAACTTCAAAAGAAATTTTCGAACTTTGTGATACATCGAAGCTATCAAATTTTACATCAGATAGTTATAAGTATTGTGAGCATTTTATATCACAGGTAAATAGTCTCATTGTATACAATCTCAATGGAATTATGTTTTTAATATTCAAACGTGTGATGATGTGCTGTGCATGTGACGAACTCATATATTAAATATGGCTTTCAAGATTTATTTTAACACGACTGTTTCTTTATTGGAAATTAGGGGTGAGAGCAGACTCTTAAGCAATCGTAAAGATTTTTGGTACCCAACTTTTAACAAGATTTGGAGGTTCATTTTACTCTGATGAGGTTGACACTTTATATGAACGGTACCTTCTTTAATAGCTGGATAATGTTGAGAGATTTTCTTACCAATAGACTGTAGAGTGTAGGATTTTAGGGGTCGGTGAATTGGGTAGAAAGTGTAACATTGTCCAATCCAGATAAAGATTTAAACCAGGCAAATTCTTAATGAACAAGAAAGTATGAGAGCAGGGGAGGGCATGTGCTTGTGTGTTTTTGCATCTATCATCACTTTTACATATGGCTTCTTCCTCTGGTACATTATCATAACTTATTCACAACTTATGAGAGTAGGTTTATGCTTTTATTCTCACCTAACAATAAAAAACCACTAATGATTTTAAAAAATAGGTAGGGGCTCGTCATCCCCATTGAATTACCCAAAAAAAATGAAAAAAAAATATAGGGATGAGAATATACTTAGTTTGGATCCAAAACTTAAATTTTGGATCCAATTCGGATTTGGGTAGGGATCCAAAATTGGGATCCGATAGTTCGGATCCAACCCATTACATAGTATATTTTATAGGGCAAGCTTTCTATGCTTCCCCTATAGCATAAAACCTATATGCTTCTCCTTATCCAATCGTTCATTCTGAATGGAGGGCTAATTTTATTCCCAATCACAATGTCACGTCTCTATACCATTTTATTTTTAATTTTTTTCTATAAACTATTTTGACACCAAATTTTGGACATTCGATCTTTTATTAAACTCGCACTAGAGAAAAATATTAAAAAAATATTTTCAATAAAATAAAATGATCAAAATACCTCTAAAAGTTTCAAGGCGTATTTTGGTTATTATATTTTATCGAAAAATTATTTTAAATATTTTTTTATAGGTGCGCCCCAACGAGAAGATGGCACGTACCAAATTTCATATTCATACAATTTGTATAAAAAAACTAAAAATAAAATACTTTGAGACGTCAAATCTAAGATCAAATGGTGAGTGGCTCTCTTGATAAAAAATGGACGGCAGGATGGTAGGGGAAGCATAGATCTTTTATGCTGTAGGAGAAGTATAGAAACCTTTCCCTATTTTATATATACATGTGTTATATTATATTTTTCATATATATTATTTTATAGATAAAAAATAATATATAAAATATTTTTTTTTGATCCAATCGGGTCTGGATCCACATCCTATGTATGCCTTTTAGATCCAGATCCAGATCCCGATCTGAATATTATGGATTTGATAGGATCCTACTCTGGATTTGGATCTCATGTATATTTTTTGGATCCAAATCCCCGATCTTGATGGATCTGGACCCGATCTAACGCATTCTCAGCCATAGTCACAGGGCCAAAACACCTTGTTAAAGGGATTTTTTTGACACAATGTACAATTTGATCCAAGCAATTGAGCATGTTAGGCACTAAAAATTTAAAGGATTGCGTGGTATGAGACAACTTATTTTTAGTACAAAGAAGTCTTAATAACTTTTAGCCATTAAATGTGAAGTTTAATAGATGGAAATGTGTTACAATATTCGAGAAATTTTATTTTAGATTTTATGCTGAAATAATGACATCCTCAATCACCCAATGTCGAATATAATGGTAAATGATGATTGTCGCTTCCTTGTATCAAAAGTAAATGGTCTCATTTTATACATTTGTAAATTCTAATACCTTTCAAGCTAGTAGTATTTATGGCCTTTATTTGGGTGGATATTGAAGCAATTTTGTGTTAGGGCCGCTAACATGCCGTCTAGGGCTGGCCCAAGCCCCACCTTGGTCCTTAGAGGATTGATTGGTCTATGTCAGGGCTGGCCTAGGCCAAAAGGGCTTTGGGCTAGGTCCGGTCTGGTGCACAGGGCTAGACAGGGCCCATTGCCGGTCCTAATTGGCATATCGTAACCCATAGCCAGTCCTATTTTGCATATCACTAGACAATTTCACTGCATAATGTGGGTAACCCCCAAATAAATTTGTTTACATGCAGGTTGGGTTAATTCTCTTGGAAGGACTAGGGCTCTACACCCCTATTGCTAAGAAAAGCCACATAAGGCTTGAAATTGGGAAATATAAGCATCCCAAAAAAGACACGTATAAGTATACCAATGGCCTTAATTCATAGAGGCCCAAAGGATTGGGTTGAAGATGCAAACAAATTCAAACCCTCAAGGTTCTCTAATGGAGTTTCTCTTGCTGCTTCACACCCTTGTGCCATGATTCCCTTCTCCACTGGGCCTTCCACTTGCCTTAATGGAAGCTAAGTTGGTGCTAGCCATGATTCTTCAAAGCTTCACTCTCTCTCTCTCTCTTCAAATTACCAGCATGAGCCCACCACCTACATCAGCTTGCAGCCCCAACATGGCCTACAGTTGTTTGTCAATCTGTTTCTGTGCTAGGGAGAGAGAGAGAGCGAAGAAGTTGGAGTGGAATTTACGTTTAATAGTAAAATAGATACCAAATAATTCCATAAATCATTCTGAAATTATTTTCATATTGAAAGGTTATCCATTATCATACAGGTGATAAAATTATAAGAAATGGGAGTACAGCGAAGTGCCTTAGCACAACGGAGGCGAGCCGTAAGTGACGCCATGAAGGTCGACATTTACTTGCCAAGAACCGACACTAAAATACACCACTCAACCAGGCGACCATGAATGAAATAATTCGCACATTGTAAAAAAGTGTCATGTTTTGTTTTCAAGGATTATCCGTAAAGGAAGTATTTACTTTTATATATGGAGCTCACAATTGTTCTTGTCCCTTAAATTTTAAAATGTGAGGTTGTAAGAGTATCATTGAATAGACATAAATTCAAGAAAAATATTGTTAGACTTCGTGACTCAACCCAAGCTAATCCAATTGAACATCCAATGAGTTGGAAACTTGGAATGATTGTGACTTCCATTTACAAAAGATTAGTACATGGAAATCTCTTATATTATTCATATTTTAAAATATATCTAAATATTTTATCTTTTAACGTCTGTACATGTTTTCTTCTCAAAAATTTTAAAAAGACCAAATTGCCATTATTTTGTATATAGATCCAAAACTATACAGTTTTAAAATTCAGTTATTTTTTACAAATTTTGGATTTAAATATCCAAATAAACAAAAATTTCTTAATTTTACAAACTTTTGTATTCCTTTATTTCAGCCTGAAAACTAGTGCAGAAAGAGTTTATATGGAGCCGAGGTTCTAAACACTCAAATTAGAGCTCACCTCAAAAATTTCAATGGAAGAAGTTCTTTTGATGCCTAAATATCCTCAAATTGATCATCTCGACATCAAGATGCATGGACATGAGAAAAAAATGGATTTCAAGTTTTGGAAATAATGCATCTTGTTACGCATTTTTGAACCCTCGATTTTCAAGATTTTAGAATTTTTATAGATTTGCTCGGTCTACACTATTTTTCAAACTTTAAATTTTATAATTAAAATAAAAACATATTTTAAGGCTATCACAAAAATTTTTAACATTGAAACCACATTTCTCAACTCGGGAAGAAGGGCATGTGCAATTTTCCCAATAATTTTTTGAAACTTGTTTCAGATCTTGATACCTCGAAAGCCCGGATAAACACATGGGCTACCAGACAAGACTTTTCTATTAAATATAAAGTAAATAAGAGTGACACCGAAAGCTCGCAGATCCACTCCTTTGGGAGTGGAGTCTTCATGCGGTCACCAAATATGGGCCAGCATCCAACTCTTCTCTTTC